TTCTATGCTTGGATTGGGAGCAGTACTGAGCCAAGTCGGAGCAGATGGTGGCTAGCAACCCGGGGCTTATCTAAGCCGTAAACTTTTGCACAGCGAAGTATATTCACTGCCATTGAAAAGGAGTGCATAGCGGTGGTGTGGGCCCTCAAAAAGCTGCAACCTACTTGTATGGACAACCGTTTACCTTACTCACAGATCACAACAAATTTGGGGCACTGCGCGTGCAATCTAATGTGCCACCAGATAGGAGTGGTGTGTTTAGTACTATTGTTATCAGTTTAATCACTGTTACGCCCCCTATCCGTTGATGTGGAGCAAGACGCAGCAGCAGAAGAGGACTAAGCCGAGGAGGTTATGGAAGAGGATGGAGTAGGAGGAGTAGAGGAGGTGGCAGCGTACTGGCAGAGTACACGCTGTAGGGCTGACACACCTGCTTGAAGATAACTAACTGCTATTCAATCTATAACAGTGAAAAAAGTTTTTTGTTTTTAAATCCAAGCTATTGTGACACCAGTGAGTGAGTGGTGGCACTGGGCACAGTATCCACTGTGAGCCTGACACACCCGCTTTGAGACAACTAACTGCTATTCAATCTATAATTGATGTTTGTTTCACAGGCAGAAAGTGCCCTAAAAGATGGCGGCTTGAACCCAAGTTGGTGGCAGATAAGTCACGCAAGTCAACCAGCATTCAGAGCTAAAATACAGCAGCGTGTGGACCATTTTTAGCCCAAGGCAGCTCATCTCATCAGGCCTTTTTTAATCTAATGTATCACCCAGTGTCAGTCCCTTCGGATCCATCCCTCATTCATCTTAATAAAGGTGAGGTAATCTAGACTTTTTTGACCTAGGCGACTTCTCTTCTCAGTGACAATACCTCCTGCTGCACTGAAGGTCCTTTCTGACAGGACACTTGAAGCGGGGCAGGCCAGAAGTTCTACCGCAAATTGGGATAGCTCAGGCCACAGGTCAAGCCTGCACACCCAGTAGTCAAGGGGTTCATCGCTCCTCAGAGTGTCGATATCTGCAGTTAAGGCGAGGTAGTCTGCTACCTGTCGGTCGAGTCGCTCTCTGAGGGTGGATCCCGAAGGGCTGTGGCGATGCGTAGGACTTAAAAGGTCCGCATGTCCTCCATCAACAAATACCTCTAAAGCGCCCTGTCCTGCTTCGGCGTTGGTCATGGGAGGAAAGTGAGGATGACTTCCACCTCTCCCGTTAGATTCCTGCTGTGCTGTGACATCACTCCTTATACGCTGTAAAAGTATACTTCTTTCTAATTTATTTTGCAAATGCTGCAATCCTTTCTATCTGTTAAATTCGCAACATTCAGCCACTTTCTGCTTATACCTCCTGGGTCTAGTATGCGGGATACCCAGCAGGTCGCTCTCCTTCTTCAGCCTTTTATAATGGTGTGGGTCCCCAACAGGCAAGTACACAGCATGAAAGACCCCATTTGCACAAGGTTGGATGCCGAAGCTACCATTTCCCCTGCTCCTCCTCCCCTCACTGATGTCAATGAAGGTATTTTCTTCCCAGCTACACGCATAACAACACCACAGGTACTAGATAGGTGACAACGCAGCACCCTGGGATGCCTTAAGCTGTGGTTGGTCTTGCTCCCTCCTCTTCCTCCTCCTCAAAGCCACATTCCTCCTCTGACTCCTTCCTCACAATCCTCTTCCAGCGTTGCCGCAGGTCCAGCAAGCGATGCTGATAAGGCTGTTTCTGGAGGTGATGGTGACCACAACTCTTCCTCTTCCTCTTCACGCTCATCTACGGCCTGATCCTGCACTCTTCGCAGGGCACGCTCCAGGAAGAAAAACAAATGGTATGATGTCACTGATGGTGCCTTCGGTGCGACTGACTAAATTTGTCACCTCCTCAAAAGGACGCATGAGCCTACAGGCATTGCGCATGAGCGTCCAGTAACGTGGCAAAAAAATTCCTAGCTCCCCAGAGGCTGTCCTAGCACCCCGTTAGTGTTGAATTCCAACGTGTCGGGCTGTCGCAAATCAAGCGCCTCACTGGCATGTTGTTTCGCCGCTGGATATCGGCAAAGTGAGCCATGGCCGTGTAGGAACGCCTGAAATGGCCACACACCTTCCTGGCCTGCTTCAGGACGTCCTGTAAGCCCATGTACTTATGCACAAAGCGTTGTACGATCAGATTACACACATGTGCCATGCACGGCACATGTGACAACTTGCCCAACTTCAATGCCGCTAACAAATTTGTTCCGTTGTCACAAACTACTTTGCCGATATCCAGTCGCTGCGGAGTCAGCCACTTTTCCACCTGTGCGTTCAGGGCGGACAGGAGTGCTTGTCCGGTGTGACTCTCTGCTTTCAAGCAAGTCAAACCTAAGACGGCGTGACACTGCCGTATCCGGGATGTGGAATAGTACCTGGGAGCTGGGGGGGTGCCGTTGATGTGGAGCAAGACGCAGCAGCAGAAGAGGACTCAGCCGAGGAGGTTATGGAAGAGGATGGAGTAGGAGGAGTAGAGGAGGTGGCAGCATGACTGCCTGCAAGTTGTGGCGGTGTCACCAACTCCTCTGCAGAGCCATGCATTCCATGCTTGGCAGCAGTCAGCAGGTTTACCCAATGCGCAGTGTAGGTGATATACCTGCCCTGACCATGCTTTGCAGACCAGGTATCAGTGTCAAATGGACCCTTGCCCCAACACTGTGTGCCAGAGATGCTATTACTTCCTTTTGCACAATTGAGTACAGGTTGGGGATTGCCTTTTGCGAAAAGTAATTTCGGCCGGGTACCTTCCACTGCGGTGTCCCAATAGCTACAAATTTTTTGAACGCTTCAGACTCCACCAGCTTGTATGGTAAAAGCTGGCGGGCTAATAGTTCGGACAAGCCAGCAGTCAGACGCTGGGCAAGGGGGTGACTTTCTGACATTGTCTTCTTACGCTCAAACATGTCCTTGACAGACACATGACTGTGGGAAGATGAGCGTGAACTGCTCAAGGCGGGAGGCGGAGTGGCAGATGGTTGAGAGGGGATAAGGAGGACAGCAGTGGTTGACGTGGCTGAAGATGCTGGACCAGGAGGAGGCTGGCGGCTTAGAGTAGGCGAGCTGCTTGTACTCATGTGTTGATCCCATAGGCGTTTGTGATGTGAGATCATGTGCCTACGCAGTTGTACCTAGGTGGGTGTTGGACTTCCCACGACTCAGTTTCTTTTGGCACAGGTTG